AGCCATATCTCTGAGTTTTGAGTGGGCGCATGTCGCCAGTGTGCTGTGTTACTGTTTACATGTGTGAAAAGTGTGTTTGAAAACGAGTCTGATTGCACAGCGAGTACCCTGCCGAAAATGGAGGTGTATTTGTCCTCCTATTGGGCCACTTTTTCCAAGACTGGCTTGAGGAGTCAGTCAGGAGTGGTTGGCTTCCCTTGGGCTGTCATGGAGACTCCCAACACCTGAATTGGGGCTACTAAGGGCATCCACTGTATTTTTGGCATCTCTTGGGGTCTCCCTCCCTATTAGCGTATCCACCATTCCAGTGTTTTGCTGACCCACTTATGTGACTTTACAACCATATCAAAAGCTTTGTAAAAGCAGTCCATGAGGTGTTTGATCTCCTCAATATTGTCACGAAATGCTTCTACCATGAGTGTCAAGTCGTCTGCAAAGAGAGAACAGCAGACCAGGATAGCTTTGTTAGGGATTGGTGATACCTGTATCCTTGGTGTGCATCTTGAGTGCGACACATGCTTAAAGTCCTCATATTGCTTGAAGCAACAAAGGCAGGAAAACCATATCTTTGCAGTCGAGTCAGGACCTTTTCAAAAGAATCAAAATCACAGGTCCCATATTGAGACCTCAAAAAGTGCTACACGGCCAGGATGTTACTCACAGTGACTTGTCGATTTCCATGCCACCATTGAAGTACCTCTCCATTAACTCCCACATGCCTATCCCTGGTTTGCGACAAGGATCTCTGGTCCCATTCTTCGCACATGCAATAAAAACCTGCAAATGTGCAATTCCCCCAGCATTCATTAGTTTTGTTGCCTTGTGAGTGTCAGCACATTCCTTTTTCTTTCCATCCCGACAAACTTTGAGCTTGCATTCCTTGCTGAAAACCGGGTTCAGCACCCCTTTGCGTGACTTACCCAGTCAACGTTCATCTCCATTATGGCCGAAAGCTCCCAAGAAAGTGGCATTGATTACTTCCTTTTCTGGAAGGATTTACCTCTGCTCACCCCTTTTGTAATACCAATTCGCACCGTTTAAATAGATGCCTTTGTCCTTACCCTTGATGTTCTCTCCACCAGTGCAGCCTTCAATTCTATGAGACCCTTTGTGAGCCATGGTAACCTCGACTAATTGTATGAGCGTTGGTTGGGTTCCCTATTGCCCCTCTCTGCCTTTCCCTTAGTGAGTCTGTCAGATTTTCTCTGATGCAAGAATGTTTGTGTCCCGACTTGATGAGTCCGAGTTGTACCTTTCCTTCAAACTTTCCTCACAGCAACCAAACTTGACTGAATTGTGTGTGTCTTGAGTCTGCGTTCCTCTTTTTTTCTATGAGACCCTTTGTGAGCCATGGTAACCTCGACTAATTGTATGAGCGTTGGTTGGGTTCCCTATTGCCCCTCTCTGCCTTTCCCTGAGTGAGTCTGTCAGAATTTCTCTAATGCAAGAATGTTTGTGTCCCGGTCAGGTTCACTCTGAGTCTGTCCAAGCCCTCTTAAACTTGATGAGTCCGAGTTGTACCTTTCCTTCATACTTTTTTTTTTGCCCCTCATGAATATAATATAGAATAGGGTATGGGGGGCTTTATCTTAATAGAAGAGAGTTAGCCTTCCTCAGTAGCTCAGCGGTAGAGCGATCGGCTGTTAACCGATTGGTCGTAGGTTCAAACCCTACCTGGGGAGCTCGCTATTGATGATTTGATTGTGTGGAATCCAAATGAAAATGAAAGTTATTCAATAAACTAACTTTCCTCACAGCAACCAAACTTGACTGATTTGTGTGTGCCTTGAGTCTGTGTTCCTCTTTGAATCAGGCGTTTTATGCCTCCACTTGCATCTGATCTCTGCCTCAACGAAGTCCTTGGTTGATAACCAGACCTTCTCCCTTGCAGTCCCGGCTTGTCGAGGGTGATGCTGCATCGTTCCTTCAATCTGGCCCACCTCGTTACCTTCCTGATCGCTCCATGCCACAGTCCGTCCAGTTTAGTGAAGTGAGTTGGGAGGTTAGTCCAGAGAAGAATTTGTAAGGGTTGTTCCTTGGAAGGGGGAGGAGAACAGGTCGGACCAGAGCTCCCTTGCTTTAGGTGTCAGCACTTTCCTAAACTCACTCTGCATTGAGAAACCCAGCACTCTCTGCTAGGATCAGACTGATCTTCTTTCTTTTTCCCCAGTGTTATTTCACTTGCGCCGTAAAGCTCCCACTTATTCTACACCTCTCAAGTCATTTAAGAGAGTCGAACGAGAGTCAATCTGGACAGGGTCTACTTTCCCTGTCTATTCTTCCAAGCCCATTCACTTGGATGTGGTTTTGCAGGATGGAAGATAGGGATAGCTGGGATCTTGTTAATCCAAACATTTGGACCATTTCTCGGTTTATGCATGATCAGACTGATCTCAGCAACATGTGTCATTATTTTCAACCCACCCTGCATTCAAGCATTCATCAAGCTTTCATGCGAAGTTGGTTGGAAAAGTGTTCAATCTAGTCACAACTCAACTCTCAACGATTTGCAATCAACACCATTCAAAATGACAGGGGGATGCACCATACCTTGCCCCTCAATCATCGAGAGCTCAAAAGCTTCCCGTCTCTTTACCCAAGCCAACGAATAATAACTGAACTGAAAACTGCACCAGCGGGTATATACACCTGGCCTACCAGCTATTCATCTGCTGACCACATGCCTCACTTCCGATAATGCATGCTGGTTGTCAAAACCCTGAGTCCCATTCGATCAGGCCTGCCCACACGCTTGAGCAGATCCAGGCTTCAATTCCTGAGATTCCCCAACATCCCTTCTCCCTAGTAGGAGTTCTCCGAGAAGACCACCTCTCCCTCCCTAATATGCACACAGAATCTCAGACAGGAGAAGAAGAGCCAGTGCGGCTACGCCCGCGAGAGGAAGGGGTATTCATGGAATCCAAATCAGTCTGTCATAAACCTCCAATAGCCTGCGAATGCCGCAACTGAATAATGGAGGGTATGTGGGCGGGTTAAAAAAGAACAGCAATACCAACAGGCCTACCTCAGTTGGTACACCCATGAACTGTTGAAATGTAGACCTGAGTTCCGATCCGAATGGAACCGGACGTATGAAGTCAAGCAATTCTAAATTACCTGGGGCCGGTCAGTTCAAGGACGAAATGGTCTGTTGCTCGAAAAACAAACAGATATGAATGGAGTACATTGAACCTTAAACCACCAGTACCTCGGCCTGCTATTTTTTTTTTGGGCGACCGTATACGCGCCGCGACTTCCGGTGGTCGGTGGGCGGGGGACTGGTAAGTAAGGGGAAAAAAAAAAAAAAAAAAAAAAACAAGAAGGAACGAAAAGAAAAGAAACGAATGAAAGTCACGAGTTCCAAGTCGCTGCGCGTTGCGGTCTGGGGGGGGGAGAGAGAGAGAGAGAGAGAGAGAGAGAGAGAGAGAGGCCCACCGAAATGCACGGAGCCATGCGACAAAGTCGCCGGGGCTCTCTCTCTCTCTCTCTCTCTCTCTCTCTCTCTCTTGTATTTGTGCGTTCGAATGCTGCGGATTGCAAATGAATCTTC